GGGAAAGTCTCAACTGGGCTGGACTGAGGTGTAAAATCATGCTGGGTAAAGTCTCTTCACAATCTAAATGATGTCTAGTGAATAATAAATTTTTTAATTTTTAAAAAGAGACTGCTTATCATAAGCACACCTGGACAGGATTTCTAAGGGGGAAAAACTTCAGAATGCCACCTTCCTTTTAGCGCAATGATCTTTACATTCCTATCTCTTGGTCATCACCACCCCTGTTTCTCATCTCAGCCAAGACCTTCCCAACGCTGAGGTAGATCCTCTAGAATTAAATAACAATAATCATCAGGCCAGCCTGTGGTGTAGTGGTTAAGGCAGCTGAATCCCACTTGACTGACCATGTGGTTCAAGTCCCAGACCCAGTGGCTTGAGAAACACGCCAGGCATGTTATTTGTCTGTGCGCACCCAAAATCCCAAAAGGAGAGAAGGGATTGTGGCATGATCATTTTCCATGGAGGGTGCTTTCTTACTTTCCTGTCTCTCCAGCTAACACAGGCACCCTAAGACAAACAAAAAAAAAAAAAAAATGGGACCAGCAGATAGCACAATGGTTATGTCACTGGACTCCCATGTGGTTGACCACAGTTCAAGTCCCAGGCCCAACAGCTTGAAGCTCATACCAGCACATGTGTGTGCATGCCCAAAGCTCTGAAAGAATGGAGGAGAAGGAATTGTGGCATGACCATCCCTCCGGGAGGTGACTTCTCACTTCTTGTTTCTCTGTCTCTCCAGCGAGTGTACGCACCCGACAGCAAAAGTATCTCAAAAAAAGAAAAAAATCAACTTTTATTTCCTTCTCTCGTCTCCAGTCCTTTGAGAACATTTATATTCTCAACATGCAAGAGGTGTTAGTGTTGTCAGTCAAACTAAGTCCCACTGCTGCTTTTCATGAAACAGGCGGCAGAGGCTGGAAAAGAACCAGTTATCTCTAACTGGTTAGAGGGAGACAGTCAGCAGGTACTCTCACACCGTCTCAGGAAGCGCACCTTG